AATACACAGCAGAGTAGGGGAAGTGGAGGATCAGACCAGTGAATTAGAAGACAGGTTTCTAGAAAAAAATCACTCAACCGGAGAACCAAAAAAGAAAAAACAAAACAAAAACAAAACAGGAGGGCAGCTAACCCATTATACTTCATAAGCATCTGCAGACACAAGCAGTGGACCTTCCCCACAAGCCACATGTGTCTATAGCTACAAGCCTCACATATCAACTCTGATCACCCAATTTTAAAATCAGACTTATTAGTGACATCTCTGGGTTTGTAAAGAAAATTATGGCAACTTAAATTCGTAAACATTCCAGCACATATGGAAGAAATTCCAATATCGATATATAGGGCTGCCATTCAGACGTGCTAGAGCTAAACACTGCGACACTTGAGATTTCTTTTGCTGTTCATTGTGACACTTGAGATTTGTTTGTGTTATCATGAATTTCATGCCTAAATTGTAAACATGGTGTGCATTCTTCATTATCTTTTTACAGATTTCGTCTTTGGAATATCAACAAAATTTAGGTTTTCGAGGCTTTTTGTGTCGACGGTTTATTTTTATTTCACTTTTGCTTTTGTTGATATTTCTGTAGAATTGAAAATTATCATTATTTTATTATTGAATTTATTGTTGTAATCTGTAATAATAAAAATATAATATGCAAATCAACTGAACAACCAAACAGCAGAATAACCATTTGGATGACCACACCATGACACTTACTGGCACCAGGCTAGCCAAGCTGAGCGCGATGTGATTGGTCGGGGGTGTGGCCATCACCCCATGGTCACCCTATAGAGGAAGGCCCAGGCCACCAACAGGCAGGCTGCGACGGGCGGGTGGGCGGGGCCTCTCTCTGTTGGGATGATTGATCATGGGGCTTTTGGACTATGACAGGGCACAGGCCAGGCTGAGGGACCTACCTGCCTCCCCACCCAGTGCACAAATTTCATACATCAGGCCTCTAATATATTATTTTGTGCAAATAAAATTCAATCCCCATAAATGGCATCAGATGAAAAAATAAGCAAACAAAGCACCTCACAAGCAAAAAAAATGACATCCTTTATTCAACTCAAGTCAGAAAATTTTTAAAATTAAATTCAAAATATTGTGGTGTGTGAGGTGGTGGCAGTTAAATAGGTTAAGTGAGCTGAGGAACAATGTGAAACATGATAATATTTGCATAGCAGGTGTACCAGAAGGAGAAAACAGTAAGCAAGGGATAGAGAACATGTTTGAAGAAATAATGGCAGAAACCCCCAACCTGCTGGTGTAAAAAGTCAGACAAGTACAGGAGGCCTAGAGTCCCAAGCAAGAAGAACCCAAACAGGCCCATGCCCAGACACAGCATAATTAATATGCCAAAAATTAAAGAAAAAGAGAGAATCTTAAAGGCAGCAAGAGAAAAGCAATTTGTTACCTTTACAAAGAAGTTCCCATAAGGCTGTCAGCTGACTTCTCATCAGAAACTACAGGGCACATGGGGGCAGCCATCTTGTGTGTTGGAGTGATGGTCAATCTGCATATTACTCTTTTATTAGATAGGATAGAGGCCTGGTGCACGGGTGGGGGCCAGCTGGTTTGCCCTGAAGGGTGTCCCGGATCAGGGTGGGTTCCCTTGGGGTGTGGGGTGGCCTGGCAAGGAGCCTGTGGTGGTTTGCAGGCTGGCCACGCCCCCGGGCAACCCAAGCAGAGGCCCTGGTATCTGGGCTTTATTTATCTTCTACAATTGAAACTTTATAGCCTGGAGCGGAGCCCAGCCTTCTGCTGGCTCCATGGAAGCAGCCATTTCTGTTGGCTGTTCAGGGGCTTTGACACATATAAAACCTTGAAACACTAGAAGTCCCATTTTACAGATTAGAAAACTGAAATTCAAAATAACCAAGTGCTTTGCTCCAGTTTCAAAACTGTGACAGTGCAAGAATTTATTATACTCAGGTCTCCTCCAACCAGTTGGAGAAGTTATTCTAAAGACAACAAGAACATGAAAGCTATTATAAGGAACAGTTATCTGATAAAAAGAGGAATAAAGAGCCTCACAACAAAAGTAAGACTTTCAGATGGCTGTATTGACTTTCCTGTTTGTTGATACATTAGTTTGTAAGACAACCAAAATCCTACCCTGAAAAACTTTCTGAATTCTTCCATGAGAAACTGCGCATAGGCAAGCTTTCTGAAGACCGGATTCTAACATTTTTATATTCTTACTAGAGGCCCAGTGCATAAATTCATTTTCATTAAAAAATCTCTTAGGAACGTGTCAATCTTTGTTCTATTTAGACCAACAAACACCCTTTAGAGCTGGGGTTGGCAGAGGGTCTGCGCGAGCGCCAGCCCCGCCATCAGCGGCCAGTGACCACCTCCTGGGCCGCGGGACCCGAGCTCCCAGCGCCCTCACCAGGGCGTCGTGCCGTCTTCTCCCCTGTCCTCGGCTTCACAATGGCTTTGCCTCCTCCCGCGGCCTCAGTGGTCACCCTAGTTCTATCTCCTCTCTACCCATTCTTCTGCTGTGACTGGAGACAGCAAAGTTTATGCATAGAACTGCCAGTAGCAAAGCTGCCATTTTCTGAGGACCTGCTGTTTGCTAGGCACTGTGTACGTCATAACCTACTTCTCTTGAATCCTCACACAATGCTATGAATTAGGCGTTTTGTCCACTTTATAGGTGAGGACACTGGGGCTCAAATTGTTGGACCACGTGCTGATACCATGTGGACGGTGGAGGCAGGATTGAGGGAGGCAGGGCTGATGGAGACAGGGTTGAGGGAGGGAGGGCTCACACCATGTGAATGTGGAGGCAGGGCTGAGGGAGGCAGGGCTGATGGAGGCAGGGCTGAGGGAGGCAAGGCTGAGGGAGGCAGGGCTGATGGAGGCAGGGCTGAGGGAGGCAGGGCTGAGGGAGGCAGGGCTGATGGAGGCAGGGCTGAGGGAGGCAGGGCTGAGGGAGGCAGGGCTGAGGCTGACCCCGCCCACTCTAGCTGACTAGCCCTTGGTGGACCAGCTCTGAGCGGAAGAAAGGCCCTGCCCCTGCTGGAAGGGAAGAGCTGTCACCAAGTCTGCTCGTTGGAGCTGCAGTGACACCACGTGTTTGCCTCCTGATCAAAGAGGAAAACAAGAGACCTTTTGTAGAAGTGCCAGTCTGTCCACACTCCCGCCTTGCTGGGCGGCACAGGTTAGTAATCACGCCATACAGTGTCCGCACAGGAGCAGCAGAGGGAGCACCGAGGCCCTGCCGGGGGGCTCACGCGGGCTCCGGCCCTGACCCTCCGGGGAAGGTGCCCTCGCCCTCCGTCGGCCGGGCACGCGGTGTGAGCCGCAGGCGGGCGCAGACACTGCCACGAGAGCCCTCAATGCCAGGTTTTGACAATTTTATTAGAAAACAAGTACAGCCCACTGATTGATGATACACGCTGTACATGAATTGGTGTTTTCACTAAAAATATATTTGCCATCTGCTCTGGCTCATTCATACACAGGAGTCTGCGGCAGCTCCTCCTCATTACGGTTACAGGTGTAACTGTCAGCGTCCGCCACGCCGCTTGCACGCACCTGGGGTAAACCGAGCCGGAGGCCAAGCAGCGCTGAAGCGACCCCTTCGTGCCCGCGCCGACCGCCGAGCGCTCGCTGGCAGACTGCCGTTGGGCGCAGTGAGCCCAGTTCGTGAGGAGGCCCTGGCAGGACAGGCTCAACGGAGGGTTTGGGGGAAACAGCAGAACAGAGGCAGCTCCCAGGGAACTCGGGGTTCACCCTGTGCCTCCCCCGCCAGGCGTGGCCGCCCTGGTGTCTGCCCACACCTCAGCTCCTGGCTCAGAGTGGCCTTCCTGGACTCCTGCAGGCATTTCTAAGCTGAGCCACTCACCAGCAGGGTGTGAGGCACCTGATCGCCTGGGGGAGGGACAGACCCCCTCACACCCCCACTGCTGGGGCCCGAGGCTGCGGTGGAAAGCGGTGCTCTCTGGGAACAGACGGCATCCCAGAGCGTGGGAAGGGGTGGCAGGGAATCTGTTTCTGTCCAGTTCTGATTACTTCTGAGGAAAAAAATACCAATGGAAGTTTGTGTTCACCTATAATGTTAAATATTAAAAAGACAGAAAGCAAAGGCCTGCATGTCCAGTGACCTCAGCAGACGCGCACAGCGTGCAGTGCCGTTTCTCTACCCATCCCGGGCTGCTCCGTTTTAAACGTTCTACACAGAGAGCACAGCCTGCTCTCCTTATTCACCAACATGCTTCACTTCAGGGAAGAATCACGGAGGCAGAGCTTTTCCATCAAAATCTAACGTGATCTTGTTAGTTCCGACATTCACAGGAATGAGCAGGGGCCTGGGCTCGGCCCCACCTGGAACCACCGTTCCTCCCTCAGGCGGGGCGGGGAGGACAGCGTGGCCGAGGTCGCACCCGCCGCCTGGAGGCCGGCCAGCGGCTGAGTGACCTCACACACCCAGGCGGGGGCCGGGGAAGCAGCCGGCGCTCACAGCGCTGCCCGGCCCGGAGCCTCGGCTGGGCCAGCCCCGCGGCCAGGCAGTGGGCGCCGGGCACCAGCTCTGCTCCTCGCCGGCGGGTCTGTGTGGCCAGTGGAGGAGGAAGAAAGGAGCCGTGGCATGCGGAGGTGGACAGAATGGCCACCGGGCACCACAGAAGGTCCCTCCTGCCACTCTGGCCGCGGGCTCTCCGGCCGGCGCTGCAATGGCAGCGTTACAGTCCGAACGGCGGGTGTGTATGGACACGCAGCCCGTGGGCGGCTCTCCCACTCGTCTCCCCACCCCCTGCATCGAGGTCCCGGCCATCCCTAGCCTGGCACAGCCCCTGAGCCGATGGCGGCCGCGTCCATCTCAGTGGCTGGTGTTTGCTAAGCGCGCTGTGGGCTGCTCGCTCCCAGGGCCGCTCACGTCCGGGGCAGCGCGGCCGGGGAAGGCCTTCCCCTTCTCTGCTGTGGCCACCCGCCTGCTCCCCAACAGCCCGGCTCCCTGCAGGGCCACCTGAGGGCTCTGTGCATCAGCAAGGCACCGGCCAGCCCGGCGCCGCGGGCTCTCCCTGGGGCCGGCCTGTGCGGGGACGCAGGGGCTGCTGCGCCGGCATGTGGTACCGGACCTGCTTCCAGAACCTTGTCTTTGCGGACTGGGGCCTCCCCGCCGTCCAGTCCCCGGACCAGCGGATGGCCCCCTGCTTCCGCCTGAGGAACTGGATGGACTCGGGCATTTTCTCGTAGTCCTGGATCTTCTCCAGCTCCAGCAGGATGACCTTGATCCCATCATGAACGAGGGCGTTGTACAGCCCGATTTGCTCTTCGGACGAACTCCCCAGCCAGCTGAATCCCGATGTTTCTCGGACCAAAACAATAATGAGCCTTCTGCTCTTCCTTATGTTTTCATTCGTGACCTCAGCAATGTCTAAGAAACACGAAGCGGCATGGTAAGCGCAGACTGTTTACAATCATTCTCTCCAAAACTCAACCCCAGAAGGACCCGCCCCTGTCCGCTGACGCTCGGGGCCTACTTAAGGGCTAAAGGAGGGTCCCGCTGAGAGACCAGCTCACACACTGGCGTCCTCTAGGACTCAGAGCACTTCCAGTAGAAGTTTAAACTCTGTTGTTAAACCGGTTGTCCTGTTCCTCTTTTATTTTATTGTATCAGCTGTAAAGCAATTTTCAGATTTTTCAGATCTAACTAGCAATTACATTTCCCAAAACGAAATACAATTTACTTAATCACTGCTTCAACAAAATATGAGAAAAGTAAATGCTTTGCATTAAATAGTGTGAAAATCATCATTACGCACCACTGAAGAGGGTCTTAAAATTGTCAAACATGTGGGCCTATGCCAGTCGCCCAGAAAGATGAACACCAATTTAATTAAACCAATTAACTAATAAATTAGTTTCAAGACGAGACTTTTACTTTTCCCTTTACACTCATACCTTCCCCAGGGTAGTCATCCCTTCCGTAAATGAACAGCTTGTAGCCACACTGTTTTTCTAAGACCTCAGGCAAGATCCTAAACACAAAAGCATCCGAGTGAGAGGTGGCCCCATCCCCAAGAGTCTTCGGATACAGGATGTACGCATCGTAGGTCTTTCCGTCTGAAGCTGAAGGGGAAATGTGACATTTTAGAACCACAAGGAAAAATACGAGGCTTGGAAAAGTCGATGTTGCACACATGCACTTCAGAATGAACGATTATTCCATATGATAGCAAGAATGAAGTTTCAATACAAAGCGCAGCACACCTTTCCGAGTGCTGTGCCCACACCTGTCTCTGTTACATTTACTGCAAAGCTGTTCTAATGTCACTGACGGCACCACATGCAGTGCCCTACACCTCTGCATGGGGTCCTCCAGTCCTCATGTCCCTCCCCACGCCACAGTGCCCTGTTCTACCATTTTCCCTTCTATGTATTATAGCAGCATTCATTTTTTTTTTTGCAAGATTTAAACAAAAGAGAGACTGCACGCATGAAAATTGAGTCCTTTCTTTGATTTGATAGCAAATCTTGGTTGACCTGTCTTCTGCCAGCACAGAGCAGGTCCTCAATAACTGGGCTTTTGAAAATGCTCTAAATGCCACTTACCCACCACTATCAGCCTAGAGCAGTAACTTGGAAAACAATGTCAGTCTGTTCAGTTATGAAACTATAATTATATATATATAAGAATAACTAGTATTTTGCCGAGACCGGTTTGGCTCAATGGATAATGGGTCGGCTTGAGGACTGAAGGGACTCGGGTTCGATTCCGGTCAAGGGCATGTGCCTTGGTTGCGGGCATAACCCCAGCAGGGGGTGTGCAAGAGGCAGCTGATCGATGACTCTCTCTCATCGATGTTTCTAGCTTTCTATCTCTCTCCCTTCCTCACTGTACAAAATCAATAAAATATATTTTTTTAAAAAAAGAATAACTAGTATTTTTATATATGTTACATTTCATTTTAAAATTTAAGTAAAAACCCTCTTAGTTATCGTATATATCTCTTAACTATCCCCTCTCTTAAACAAGAAAATGTTGCATAAAATAAAAATTGTACCTTTTTTCGGGAAAAAATCATAGCAAGAATCCCTGTACCAAAGTACAATATCAACCTTGAAGATTTTATAGATGAAAACAACGCTTGTAATCACTACTGTTAACATGACAAATGTGCCAATTATGAGCTTCTGGAAATTGGGAACTGAAGCAGAAAAGAGACAAAACTTTTATTAGTACCAAAAGAATTAAAAATTTGAGCACAACAAATTAAACATCTCCATCCCAGAGAAACCATATTTGGGACTAGCTATAATTCCAAATCTCAGATAGTATTAATCCATCCATTATCACTTAGTAATGGGTATTAATGTACAAATACATATGTATCAATAATTAAATCTAAAAGTTAAAGTACATAACAAGGAATCTAATAAACAAAATAGACTGATGAATAAAATAGAACCAGAGGCATGGAAACATGGAATAGACTGACGGATGAATCTCAGAGGGAAGGAGGACAGAAAGAGATTAACCAAAGATCTTATATGCATGTATGCATTATCTATGGACACAGACAAAAGGGTGGTGAAGGCCTGGAGTGGGGTGTGAGCTGGGATAGGAGGGTGGTGCAAGGGGGTATCTGTAATACTCTCAACAATAAAGATTTTTTAAAAATAATAAATAAATAAATGTCAGGGATATGTAGGCATCAAGAAAAGAACCTGCCCAGACAATGGGCTCAGTGGTTGAGCATCAACTCATGCACCAAGAGGCCATCAGTACAATTCCCAGTCAGGGCACATGCCTAGGTTGTAGCCTTGGTGAGGGATGCATACAGGAAGCAGCCAATCAGTGTTCTCTCTCATTGTTGTTTCTATCTCATTCTCCCTCTCCCTTCCTCTCTCACTAAAAAGACAAAAACAAAACAAAACATATTCTTTAAAAGAAAAAGAGAACCTAAAAGCTCTCTTATTTTACTTTTTCAATTTATGTCTTTGACCCATCTGCAATTGATTTGGGTAGAAAGTAGAAATCAAGATATACCATTTTCTAGACCAATAGCCAATTGGTTCATTTGATTGGTTATATTTACAATCTTCACAACTTTAACTTCATACAAGATCATGGTATCTATAGTATAAATCTTATAAACTTGTCATTTTTATTTAAGACCATCTTGACTGTTCTTGACTCTACATTTCCATATGGCTTTTAGAATAAACCTGTCCACAACACACACACACACACACACACACACACACACACACACACACACACCCATACTTGCACAGACAGTGCTGAGATTTTGAGTGGGATGGTTTTTAATCTATAAATTCACTTGGGGACAACTAACATCTTTATAATATTGAGTCTCTCAATCCATGAACATTGTATATTCCTCCATCTATTGAGATAGTCTCCATTTTACTCAATAATATTATTGTTTCTTTAGTTTGTATTACAGAGCTCTTGAACCGCTTTTGCTAGCTTATTCCTGTCTTTGATAATTTTTGATGCTACTGTAAATGATATCTTCTAAATTAATTCTATTGGTTTGTTGTTGGTATTTATAGATATACATAGAAATACTACACATATAGAGATTAGTTATCTTGCTAAATTTATTAAGTCTAATGGTTTGTCTGTTCAGAATTTCTTGCATGTACACATTCATAAATACCCTATTTTAACTACAAATAATCTTAAATTATTTCACAAATACTCTCAATACTGTGTCTTTTTTTTTAATATATTTTTATTGATTTTTTTTACAGAGAGAAAGGGAGAGAGATAGAGAGCTAGAAACGTCGATGAGAGAGAAACATCGACCAGCTGCCTCTTGCACAACCCGCAACCAACGTACATGCCCTTGACCGGAATCGAACCTGGGACCTTTCAGTCTGCAGACCGACACTCTACCACTGAGCCAAACCGGTTTCGGCTAAATACTGTGTCTTAAGATTATACAACTCATGAAAATCAATAACTTCTAACTCTCTGGAAAGTGGATATTTAAACTTCCCCTATAGTTGGCTGTTTTGGTTTAGTGAATAGAGCATTGGCCTATGGACTGAAGGATCTGGGTTTGATTTGGGTCAAGAGCACATGCCCGGGTTGTGGGCTTGATCCCCAGTAGCGGGGCAGGGGGAGGGGGAGGCAATGCAGGAAGCAGCCTATCAATGATTCTCTATCATTATTGATGTTTCTATCTTTCTTTTCCTCTCTGAAATCAATAAAAAATATTTTAAAAAACCTTTAAACTTCCCCTGCACATCCATCATTCACCTAAAATATGCATCAGATACCTACCACAACCAGACTGAAATTGCTGCTAGTCCTGGAGATAGAATAGTTAGGAAGATAAATGGGCTGCGGCACTGCAGAATTTACAGCCAGGAAAGAAAACTAAGTGTGACAGCTCCTGTGCCGGGTGGGGACCTAGAGTGCTAGTGCCCTCACCTCCTCTGTTTGGCAGAGAACAGGACAGAAAGGCTCCCTGGCAAAGAAACAGTTCAGCCGAGAAGTGAAAGAAGGAAGATGTTATCCAGGTTAACAGGAATCCCAGAGCATTCTGGGCAGAGGGAATGGCATTGCAGGTCACAGAATCCTACCCTGGTAACATAAAGGCGCATTTCCAATAAAGAGTTTTATTATTTACCTGGGTGTATGAATTGGACATATGCTGAATTTATGCCATATTTATTCCTGGCTATGCAGGTAAATGGATATAGATAAAATTCACTTTTCACTTTTGAAATATTAAGCATTAGGATGACTGCATTCACGTTTTTGGGTGAAGGATTTTCCACTCTGTTCAAGAGAGAGAGAGAAAGAAAGAAAGTTGTTTTAAGTAAACTGCATTAACAACAAATAAGACACATGCATTGTTTTTCTCTTTATTTGTCGGCAGAAACAATCACCAGCCTACACACAGGTATAACAATCAGGCTGTTAGAAACACTGATCGAGATGTTGTGGACCTAAGTTCACTACTGTTAAAAGACTTAGTAGGAGACACCGAAACCGGTTTGGCTCAGTGGTAGAGTGTCGGTCTACGGACTGGGAGGTCCCAGGTTCGATTCTGGTCAGGGGCATGCACATTGGTTGCAGGCACATCCCCAGTAGTGGGTGTGCAAGAGGCAGCTGGTCGATGTTTCTCTCTCATCGACGTTTCTAGCTCTCTATCTCTCTCCCTTCCTCTCTGTGAAAAATCAATAAAATGTATTTTTTTTAAATTAAAAAAAGACTCAGTAGGAGAGAAATCAATAGAAATGAGTAAAAATCACCAGCTTCCAAAAAGAAAAATATGAACATATGCATTTTGTCTCCATGTGGCACAGAAAAGAACATATGGAACAAGAGTAGAGCAGGCAGATGGCAAAGGGTCTGAAGGTGATGCTGAGAAGTCAGGAGTTTATCCCTAGAGAGGTTAAGGAGCCCCTGGGACTTGGGAAGTGGAGGGCATGATTCTCGGCCCCATGTTATGCGTCCTTTTTAAATTACTTAATAAAAAGTAGAATAACATGAAGATTGCTTCACCAGAATGTTGCAACATATGTAACTAATATAACAGAAAGCCTTCCAAGTGGTCCTGAATTTGCACCACGATGACATGCATTTTTATTTAAAATTGAGGCCCAGTACATGAAATTTGTGCATGGGGGAGGGGGAGTCCCTTAGCAGACAGACCTGCACCCTTTCCAATCCAGGAGAGCCCTCAGGGAATGCCCTCCTGATGGATTAGGCCCATTCCCCTTGGTTCTCAGCTCTCTGCGGGGCCTGCCTGCTCCACACCATGGCAATGGGCAAGCAGGCCCAGCTGGGTGCTATCTGCAGGTCCACTTGCCTGCTCACGGGTTGCCACAGCTATAGCCAAGCAGGCCCCACTGTCTGCTGTCAAGCTGCACAGCCGCTGATGGTCCCGGGAGCCTAAAGGCGTGGCTTGGCAAGGCTGCCCTTGCCTCCCAGGGCCAGCAATGGTATGAGGAGGCTGTGTGCTTGGCGCCCATCCCTGGGACCCAGGCCGCTTGGCACCACCCTGCCCCTGGCTGCTTGATGCCTGCCTATGCAAACTAACCTGCCATATTTGTCAGGCTAATTTGCATACCCACTCCTGATTGGATGGTGGGTGTCACAGAGGTATGGTCAATTTGCATCTTTCTCTTTTATTATTGTAGATGTACAAGCTCTTGTAAGTCCTGTTTAGCTTTACAAAGCTCATTATGGGTGGCAAAGTGTTAAGAACCAATCAACTGCCAAGTAACTTTTGCTATTAGGTTAAACCATCAAGAATGTAAAAGTATGATGTGCAATTTAACATCAAAATGTCTCTGCTGTGGCTGGCGCTCAGCATACTTACTGTATGTAGTCTTCCGCCAGCACTGGGTCTTCATCATCAATTTGCAACCCTTTCCACTTCCAGTAGACAGAGCTAATGTAATGGCTGGTGACATTGCACACCAACTGTAGCTGGGATCCTGCGAAGCAGTGTATTTTAAAGCCTAACATTAATGAATTTTTATGTGATCCATTTATACATATTAACAAATGGCTACTGGATAAGAATTTTAAATTATAGGAAAGCACAAAGAAAAAGAAAAATCACCCTTCCACTTCCCACCTAAAAATAACCACTATTAGCAATGTTACGTATCTCATTCCTTACTTTCTCTGTTACACATGCGATTACTAAATGGGGTGTTATTATCGCTATTTGTAACTATTACTGTGCTGGCAATGTTGGCTCACATGATTAGCCTTCCAGAATAGGCTCCTCTGTGGCTGCTCAGCACTGCACAGTCAGACCGAACATGCCAATCATTTCCCTGGTGCTAAGGACCATCTGTTCCTAATTTTTATTACTGTGATTACTATTCCAATGAGCATAGTGGTCTTGTACTTCAATATTGTACACTCTCTAAGCCAGCCCCTCTCACCCACCCAAGACTGCACTTCCCACTCACCCAGCAGGGAGCCGTGCATCCAACTCAGCACCCCCCCCTCCAGTCAGTGCCAACACTCACATCTCTGCCTGTATTTTTTGAATTAATGGTGAATTGACACGTTTTTATAAGCTTAGTGCTCATTTGCCTTTAAAAACTGCTGGTTATCCCTACTGCCCGTGACTTACTGGCACCATTGCAGCATCTCTATCACACATGGAACTACTCCAAAATGTTCCTTGCTTTCATCTCATTTTTGTTTATGGAAATCCTTTGGTAAAGATTTTGTTATTTTTTTTGTTTGGTCAAATTTATAACTGTTTATCTGTTTTCACTATTTTTTTTTTCTCTAAAATCCACCTCTACCATCAAATCAGGAAAACATCCATGTTTATTTTATCTGGGGCATATAATACCGAGAAAGGCTTAGCTGTTGCAAGGGTGTGTGGCCCTCAAAGGGCCATAGTGCACGGACAAACACATCTGTGACGTTCAGTTCCGAGAGGAGTGGGGCTGGAGGGAAATGCCTCTTTAGCTCCCTAAGGGGCAATGAAAAAGGACTAGAAGTACCGTGTCGCTTCTATAGGCCCGTGAGTTATACATGCTTGTCAGTTTATCGCTAAGAATTTCTTGGTATTCCCGTACATCATGAATAACAAATCAACGGGATCCACAGGTCACGACTCTTCCTGTCGAATCCCTGTCTTCTTTCTGTTCCTATTACAGAAGAGGAGTCTTATACTAACTTGATTTTTGATCCTCTGGTACCAAAACCTGTCTTTGGAATGTTCGGTTTCTAATGGAATGTTCAGTGATGGTGAAAATGTGCTCAATATGTGTTAATCCTGAAGTCACTGGTCACATGTGGCTATTAAGCTCTAGACTGAGAAACTAATATTCAATAGAACTAAATTAACTTTTAATTTAAATTCACATATGCATAACTACATGTGGCTAGTGCCTATTGCACTGTACAGGGCAGGGCTGGATGCTTATAAGATTTCTTTATTCTTGAAATAAACAATGTACAAATTAACTGCCTTGTGAAATGTTTTTCTAGAATGACATCCTTTTGCCTGCAGTCTAGCTCTCCTGCCTAAAGGCTCACTCCGGTGTCAGAGACACGCTGTGCAGAAGGCACATCTCATGGCCTTCGGCTGTGTTCTCGTGAGTGAGTCTCCACAGGAAGGTAAGCCAAACCAGATGTGGTTCGATTTGTACTACAAGGGGCAATAAATCCAAAGGAACATTTAATATACAGCCTATGCCACTTTCTCTCCAATTACAGACATGTACAGTAAACCGCGTAGGCTCTGTGTAGTAAAGGTAAATTTATCTTCTCTTGAATTCAGAATAAATGCTGCAGCCTGTCCTGATTGGAGGCTACTTACCCGGGGCCACTTCCATCGTCTCGTTCAGCGGACTCACGATCTCAGGGCTCTGGGGCCTCTCCTTTTCTGAAATGACACCCACAGGCTCTAAGTCTCGCACAGACCAGAGTCTCAAATGATAACAACACTTGGCAAGTACACCGAACTATACATGGCACCTGGCAGATATTCCCTCAATGCCAGACACGTTTACGTCAGGAGACAGAGGCAAGAGGTGGAAGAGGCCCCAGCCAAATCACGACAACCCACTCCGGAGCCTGCCCCTCTGAGCCCAGCAGCTCGGGCTTCACAGAACCGCAGGCAGCTCAGGCTGCCCGCAGACACAGGCTCCCCAGGGCCAGCCCGCACGGGGAGGGGGGTGCGTCCCTGGCGGAGCATCTCCCCGCAGAGGCCTGCGGCGCTGGGTCTGCTCAGACACGGACCTTCACTAATGGCCGAGTAGAATGTCAAGAATTTTTGCACATTTTATTAAAACAGGACGAAAATATTAAGTGGCTCCAGAGATCCATCTGTTATTTACAACAAGACTGGCTTCCAGGGGTAACTGTGGCCACGCCTGAGGAACTATGAACTTAAGCATGAGCTCCATAAGGCAGGGTACGGTCTCTTTGGTTTGCTCATTCGGTATACACCCAGGACAATTCCGGCACGGAGTAGGTGCTCAATAAATCATTCTGAATCTCCCTTTAGAAGATTAAAAGTGACCTCACCTGATTGAGCACGCTATGTCCACACAGGGACCAGAAAGGGCGGTGGAGACTGTCTGCTGGCTGCCTGCTGCACGTCCAGAAGGACAAACCGAGCTACACCAGGCCCAGAGCAAGGCTGCTCACAGCTCGAGAGGCTGTGGCTGCTGAAAGTTATGATTCACTGGTGCTAGGTATTAATTCTGACTCAACAAAATAATATACTTTGAAGAAATAAAGTACGGTGGAATTAAGAAAGCTCAGCTGTGTCAGGGGGCCGGTTCTGGGTCCCTGCCCGGGGCGTGCCCTCCCGTCCTGTTTCCCAGCACGGTTGTCAGTAGAGCCCCTTTAACACTCAAACCCGGAGTGAGCGTCTCTGTGGTACCGACGCTGACAAACCGGATGCTTACAGAACGCTCACGCACTCTTCCCTGCCCCGGTGATTTTTGCTGTGAAATAGTTTTTAATATGAAGCAATCAGAAATTGAAAGCTCAGGAAATTAGTAAGAATAATTATCATACAGGACTTATGGGGCTCTCAGAAAGAACCACCTTCAGCCACCGGAGAGGGAGCCAGCCCACTCAGCTGGACACATGGCTCCTGTCTGTCTAACCAGCACTCGGCCTGAGGCAGAGGGAGGCATCCGCAGGGCATGTAGCACAAACTTGAAAACCATGTGACTCTGGCAAGCCATCCAGCTCTCGTGGCGCAGCTCCTCCGGGCAAGCAGGTGCCGGCGGAACCGGCTCCCGGGCCTCCCATGGGCCGCAGCTCTGGCTCACCGAGAGTGAGGAGCTGGATCACCCGCGTGACGCGGTAGCGCTTTCCCAGGAGCACGTAGGACAAACGGCACGTGTAGTTCCCTTTGTGCGCTTCAGTCACGTTCGTGATGATGAGCTTGTTTGATTCTCCAATGAAGTTTTCTTTGTCAAGAAGTAGAGGTTTGCAATCCTAGATAGAGCAACAGGGAGTATTGAAAACCAATTAATAACTTTCTCCAGTCTGCCAGGAGGAAAATTCCATTTCCCCGTATCAGCAAATGTGTTATACATATGTAATATGTATATTGTTTTATATATACTTATACATATATACAAACATATATTTACACACACACACACACATATAGAAAAAGATAGAGAAAGGAAGAGAGAGAAAGAGAGATTCCTGCATAACAAGTTTTAATGTTGTGATTTTTGTGGCAAAACTCATAATTATTCTCCTAGGATATTAAGTGCTTACACCTTTGAGCCTTGCACTTTGAAAACAAATTTACTTGGAAATAAAGGAAACCCACTGGAGGAAAGAATGCTCCCACTATAGTGTGCAATGCTTACTCCCTCTCCCCAGATATTATTGGTTGTGTCTTACCCCACACAGCGTGCTTCCCAGAGAAGCGCAGCAGCGCAGGCAGAGCTAAGGTAGCAAACTGATCTGTCCGTGGAGTGCCAGCCACTCTCTTCTCGGGCAGTCACAGACTGCTGCCCTGGCGCGGTGGCGCAGTGGTTTGGAGCATCCTCCGCATACCAAAAGGTAGCGCTTCAACCCTCCGTCAGGGCTCATCCCCAGGCTGAGGGTTGGATTCCCAATCGGGGTGTGTACAGGAGGCAACCTATTCATGTTTCTCTCTCTCTAATCAATAAAAACATATCCTCAGGGAAGGGTTAAAATAAAAGAAACTATGAAGTTATTTGAGGACCACTTGATATTTTAATTAAACACAAAAGAATAAATTTTGTGCCCTGTGTTACTCAGTGGTTAGAGCACCATATACCAAAGAGCTGCAGGTTTGATTCCCAGTTAAGGACATGTGCTTGGGTTGCAGGTTCAATCCTTGGCCCCAGCTGAGGCATGTGAGGAAGGCAACAATGGATATATCTTTCTCACATTGATGTTTATCTCTCTCACCCTCCCTCTCTTCCACTCTTATAAAAATCTATAGATATAGAAAAAATATCCTTGGGTACCCAGCCGGTGTGGCTCCGGGGTTGAACCTATGAACCAGATCACCGTTCAATTCCTGGTCAGGGCACATGCAGGGCTGCAGGCTTGATCCCCAGTACGGGGCAAGCAGGAGGCAACCAATCAGTGTTTCTCTCTCATCATTGATGTTTCTATCTCTCCCTTCCTCTCTGAAATCAATAATATATATATATATATATATATATATATATATATATATATATATATATATATTTAAAATGTATCTTTGGGTGAGGATTAACAAATAAACAAAAAAGAATACTTTTAAAAAACAAATAGTTATCTCTTAAAAACCCTAAATTTATACTGCCTTATCTTTAAACTTCTTTTATTCTTACTATACTTTTCTTCTACTGTATCTTCTTAAGAAAAATAACAAAAAGTAAGCTTTTAGAAAAGTTGCAAATTAAATATATGGAGTCTTACAACTTTTAAAAATATGTCCTATTAAGTTTTACTACTCAAAAGTAAATGATATGCCAAATGAAAATGTACTTTGCAGATTCAACATATTGTCTGTGAAAGAAAACTATTTTATATGTTGGAAAAGTAGAATACTATATTTAATATAACATTACCGGATAAATAGAAGCATGAACAAACTGTTGGACCTCAGAGAGAAGGCAGGGAGGGTGGCTGGGAAGAGATCAAGCAATGAACTTGTATGCATATATGCATGACCAATGGGCATAGACAATGGGGTGGTGAGGGCCTGGGGCAAGGGGTACAGGAGCTGGCTGGAAGAGGTTAATGGGGAAAAAAGGACCTGTGTAATACTTTCAACAATAAAGATTTAAAAAGTAATAATTATTAGGACATTACCTTATCCCACTCTATTTTGGGTAACTTATTATGTTCATCCTTAAAATAATCCAAATAAGGACACACAAGTTGTCCATTTCCTGCAATGATGAGTTTCTGTTTGTATATGGCTTGTGCACTGTAACACAAGTCAGGTTCATGTTGTACAAACTTTGCAGTTAGTTCAATCTTGAGGCAGTAAGTTGAATTGCTAAAATAAATCAAAACAGGTGGATCAATCATTATTAAAGGACATTTCTGTCTTAACTATGGTAGGAGCACAGCACACATGTCTGTAACATGTAACTTCTTCCTTACCTCACGGTGCAATAGTACTGTCCTGAGTCCTCGACCTTAGCTGGAACAAACCACAGCTTATCTCTGTACTGATGGATCCTGGAGCCCCTTTCCATAGATATAGATGTGTTGCTGTCTTTTTTATACCAATTTATAGTGCCTTTGTTTTCATTTGTGTAAAGAGGACATACACGAACTCCAATTTCATATGCAGAAGAAACTAAAATTATTTCTTCTTTACGTTCCTCACATTTACCTTTAGAAGGAAGAAAGGAAAAGCAAAATCTGTCAATGTTTTTTGATATAATATCTACATATAAACGTATCAATTACTGAATACATAATTCAAAAGAAATATTTAACAGCCTTATGATTAACACCACTACCTTGGAAGTCTGAAAGATTTATATTAAAATTCAGTGGTGTTACTTACTACCCGAGTGCCCTTGAGCAAGTTATGTAAGCTCCCATCCCCTCGCAAGTCATCTAAGAACGGGTGAAAGTGTGGCAGGTGAGAGATGCTTCAGGACAAGATGGAGTATAAGGGCTAGACTTGCCTCCGACCTGAACAACTGAAAAATGGACAATGTTTATGAAACAGTTATGTCCATGATGCTGGACATAAAAAATAGAAATATCAGAAAGGGGGGACTCAAAGGAGGCAAGCCCTGTAATTCTCCCAATCACTGCTGGAGCGATTCTGGACCAGGGTATTGCGAGGAGAAAGGCCAGGCCACGCCTCGTGTTCTCTGGGTGAAGAAAGGGAGCTGGGACCCCATGGAACCAAGTGTGCGGGCAGAGCACCGGTCGATCAGCCCTGCACTCAGAGCGAGTGGGAGGGGAGGGAGCAAGCACTTTGCTGACCTATAGAGCCTCTCTCTGGTTCTCAGTTGAGTACTGATTAGCTTAAGTTTGTAAGAAATGCTACCCAAGGTCAGAGGGTGAATTGCCAAAAGGATTAGAGTAAGTAATACCTAACCCACACACAATTCTGGAAATAGGTGGTTTACAGCTGGAATGGAAAACCTCAATAATCGTGGGGCAACAGGTACAATGCCCAGAAGGGTTTTGACTCAGTAGATGAGGAAATCAGGCCAAAAATAAAACTTTTCCTGATCATAATTAATAAAGTTTAACATAAAGACCTGAAATGATCAACTGTTTTCAATAATAAACCTATGATGCTGACACTGCGTTGCCATACTAGCAGTCAGTAGCTGTGCATCACTGCAGGTTGACCAGAACCAAACCAAAGAGGGTCAGACCTGCATTACCACCATTTGTCCATCATCCAGAACTGAAATATCATTGCTGACATGCACACATAAGGGACTGCTTGACATTGAAATTGGGACTCAAACAAAAAAAACAAAGTTGAGTTACACTGACTTAATTCAAATTTTATTACAAAGCCACATGAACAAGACAATGTAGTATTGCCATAGAGATGAATAGGTCACTGAACAGAAACCCCAGAAATAAATTACACGAACATATTCAACTGATTTTTTACAAAGGCAAAAAGGAAATTGAGTGGAGAAAAGATAGCCTTTTTAATAAATTGGGTATCCTTATTAAAAAAAAAAAAAGATAAGAACAGTGACACAAAATTTTAAAAAGACTACAAACAAGTATCTTTCAATAATAACTTTAAATATAATTGCTCTAATCAAATGATTAAATGCTCTAATCAAAAGACATCAAGTGGCTGAATAGATTAAAAAAACACAAAAAAACACATGACCTATATATATGTGTGTCTACAAGAGACCCATCTCAGAAAAAAAAGGGACTCACACAGCCTGAAAGTGAAAGGATGGAAAAATACTGTTCAGGCAAATGGAAATGGAAAAAAAAAAGCTATGGTAACAGTACTTATATCTGACAAAATAGACCTCAAAGTAAAGACCATAAGAAGAGATAAGGAAGGCTACTTCATAATACTAAAGGAATCGATACAAGAGGATATAAACCTGGTAAACATATATGCACCCAATTCAGGAGCACCCAAATACATTTAAAAAAAAAATCAACAAAACAAAACTCCTGGAAGTTATCAAGGGAGAGACTGACATCAATACAATCATAGTAGGGGATTTTAATACACCACTGACATCACTGGATAAATCAACTAGACAAAAAATCAGCAAAGAAACAGAAATTCTAAATGACTCACTAGATCAATGGACCTAATTGACATCTTTAGAGCATTTCACCCCAAAGCCATGGACTATACGTTCTTCTCAAGTGCACATGGGACATTTTAAAAAATAGACCACATATTGGGTCACAAGCAAAATCTCCCCAAATCCAAGAGGACTGAAATCATACAAAGCATCTTTTCAAACCACAATGGTATAATATTAGAAATAAACTACAATAAAAACATTCCAAAAAAGTCAAACACTTGTTAACTGAATAGCAGGCTATTAAACAATGATTGGGTTACCAATGAGAACAAAGAAGAAATAAAAAAGATTCTGGAGACTAATGACAATAAAAACACAACAATGCTACAGGACATAATGAAAGCAGTTCTGAGAGGGAAGTTCATACCTCTACAGGCCTACCTCAAAAGAAAGAGAAAGAAAGAAAGAAAGAAAGAAAGAAAGAAAGAAAGAAAGAAAGAAAGAAAGAAAGAAAGAAAGAAAGAAAGAAAGAAAGAGAGAGAGAGAGAGAGAGAGAGAGAGGGAGGGAGGGAGGGAGGGAGGGAGGGAGGGAGGGAGGGAGGGAGGGAGGGAGGGAGGGAGGGAGGGAGGGAGGGAGGGAGGAAGGAAGAAGAAAGAAAGAAAAAATGGTAGTAAATCATCTAACTCTACAACTCAAAGAATTAGAAAGTGAGCAATAAGAAAAGCCCACAGTGAGCAGAAGGAAGGAAATTATAAAGATCAGAGCAGAAATGAATGACATAGAGACCAGAAAAACAATACAAAAGATCAATGAAACCAAGAACTGGTTCTTTGAAAGGATAAACAAAATTGATGAACCTCTAGTCAGGCTCACCAAGAAGCAAAGAGAGAGGATGCAAAATCAGAAATGAAAGAGGCGAAATAACAACAGACTCCAGAGAAATAAAAAGGATTGTTAAAAAAAAATACTATAAATACCTCTATTCTAACAAACTGGACAACCAGGAGGAAATGGACACATTCCTAGAAAAATACAACCTTCCAAAACTCAATCAGGAAGATTCTAAAAATCTCAATAGGCTGATAATTATGGAAGAAATTGAAGCAGTCATAAAAAAGCTTCCAGCAAACAAAAGCATGGGGCCAGATGACTTCACAGGGGAGTTTTACCAACATTCAAGGAAGAACTAACACCTAACCTTCTCAGACTATTCCAAAATATTTAAGACGAGGGAAAACTTCCAAACTCTTTATATGAAGCCAGCATCATCCTAATACCAAAACCAGATAAAATTAACACAATGAAAGAGAATTACAGGCCAATATCGCTCGTGAATATATATGCCAAAATCCTCAACAAAATTCAGGCAAATATGATCCAGCAATACATCAGAAAGATCATACACCATGACCAAGTAGGATTAAGCCAGGAATGCCAGGATGATACAATATCTACAAATCAATAAATGTAATACATCGCACAAACAAACTGAGAGATAAAAATCACATAGTCATATCAATTGATACAGGAAAAGCATTTGACAAAATACAACATGCTTTCTTTTCTTTTTTTAAAAAAAATATATTTTATTGATATTTAAAGGAGGAAGGGAGAGAGAGCTAGAGAGCTAGAAACATCGATGAGAAAGAAACATCGACCAGCTGCATCCTGCACACCCCCCACCAGGGATGTGCCCGCAACCAATGTACATGCCCCTGACCAGAATCGAACCTGGGACCTTTCAGTCCACAGAACCGACGCTCTACCACTGAGCCAAACCGGTTTCGGCCCAACATGCTTTCTTGATAAAAACTCTCAGCAAGGTGGGAATAGAAGGATCATACCTCAACATAATAAAAGCCATATATGACAAACATCATACTCATCAAACATCATACTCAATGGACAAAAACTAAAACCATTTCCCCTAAGAACAGGAACAAGATAGGGATGCCCACTCTCACCACTCCTGTTCAACATAGTACTGGAAGTACTAGCCATCATGATCAGACAAGAAGAAAAAATAAAAGGTATTGAAATTGTAAAAGAATAAGTAAAATTGTTCTTATTTACAGATGACATGATACTGTACATAGAAAACCTTAAAGACTCCATCAAAAATTTATTAATAATTGAATTTGGCAATATAGCAGGCTACAAAATTAATGCTAAAAAAATCTATGGCATTTTATACACAAATAGTAAATTTACAGAAAGAAACTAAAAAAGCAATCCCATTTACCATCACCTCAAAAAAAAAAAATTAAGATATCAAGGAATAAACTTAACAAAAGAGGTAAAAGACCTATATGCGGAAAAGTACAGGACACTGAAAAAAGAGAAAGAGGAAGACAGATAGAAGAATATACCATGTTCGTGGATTGGTAGAATCAACATCATCAGAATGTCCACACTACTCAAAGCAATCTACAGATTCAATGCACTCCCCATTAAAATACCAATGGCATATTTCACAGACCTAGAACAAACATTCTAAAAATTCATCTGGAATAAAAAAAAAAAAAAAAAAAAAAGACCCTGAGTAGCTGCAGCAATCTTGAGAAAAAAGAACAAAGTAAATGGGATCTCAATACCAGATATCAAGCTGTATTACAAAGCCATTCTTCTGAAAAACTGCCTGGCACAGACACAAGAACAGACATAGAGACCAATGGAATAGAATAGAGAACCCAGCTATCGATCCAAACCACTATGCTCAATTAATATTTGACAAAGGAGGCATGAACATACAATAAAGTCAAGACAGTCTCTTCAATAAATGGTGTTGAGAAAACTTGACAGATATATGCAAAAAAAATGAAACTAGACCATCAACTTACACCTTACACAAAAATAACTCAAAATGGATCAAGGACTTAAACATAAGATGGGAAACCATAAAAACACTAGAGGAATCCTCAAGCAGTGTAATCTCAGACATATGCTGAAGCGATTTCTTCACTGATACTGCTCCTAGGGCAATGGAAGCTAAAGAGAGAATAAACAAATGGGACTACATCAAAATAAAAAGCTTTTGCACAGCAAAGGAAACCATCAACAAAACAACAAGAAAGCCCACTGCATGGGAGAACATATTTGCCAACGATATCAATGAGAAGGGTGTAA